TTTTCTGGTAGCCCCCATATAAGGGTACCCCCAAATTTCTCTATTTTGAGGAATTCAACCGAATTCGCTGAAATTTGGTATTTTGTAGTCGAATATGGTAACAAATTTCCCTACAAAAAATTTTTAATATGCACCCCCTTTTTGGGGTAGTCACCATATAACCCCTTTTTTATATTAAAATAGTTATTTATATTAAAATAGTTATGCAATTTGTTCCGCGTTTTGGGTTGGGTTCTAAAACTCTGTTGTAATCATATCACCAGCGGAGGATATCGAGATAAAAAACTAGAACATAAGGATCGATAATGAACTATATATGAACTATAACCCGTATTTAGACCTAGCCCCTGTGTGGGAGGTACCAGAAGGAGTGGATCGATATTCCCCATCTTCGAATTTGAATTAAGTTTGGAAGAAATAATAAGATGAGCAAAGTTTGGATGAAATCTAAATTTTTTGAAACAGATTTGGTCCAAAGAAACATGGGGTGTAGAACCAATATTTCGATGAGGCACATTTTCACGGTGTTAAAGCGTATACACCCACATTAGCAGTAAGGCTGAGGCTATAATTATCCATTAAAAATTTCTGAAATTTGTATTATAGTTTACATAGAAATGTCGGTATAGGTCCACTTTTTGGTATGTTCCCTATATTTTCATTTCTAGTACCTGTAAGTATATCTATGGTGGAGGGTATCCAAAGTTCGGCCCGGCCGAACTTAACGCTTATTCACTTGTTTGGCATTATTTTTGGTCAATTATTACAAATCTATGAGTTCCATACAATTCAAACTTTCAATTTTTTAATAACACAAGAAAAAACCTTTTTTTTTTTTTGAAAAAAAAAAAAACAAAAAATGCGAAACAAATGCTCAAATTATTCGTGCTTTACAAAACAATGATGTAATTTTTAATGCATTTCAATTTTCGGTTTAACTTTTCAATGTATTTCATTATTTGTTATTTTTGTTCATTTGTTTGTTTATTTGTTGCTTGTGTTTTTTTTTCTTTTCTATGAGATTTTATATAATTTGCATTTAGCCTTAAGGCGATCATTTAAAGTATAACAATTTTGATTTTTTCTCTGTGTGAGATTATTAAAACTCCTCCAAAACAAAAACGACTGAGAACAAAAACAACAACAACAACAGCATGAGTACCATAACAATTGTTTCGATTTCTAGCAATGTTTTCTTAATAATAACAAAGAGTAACAATGAAACATAAAGCTAAAGTACCGCCAAAGAAGACAACAACAACAAAAAGGAAATTTTTCAAAAACCAAAAAGAAACAGAAACGAAAATCTATATATTTGCAAATGAATGTAATGTTTTTTGTTGTTGTTGTTGCTGTAGTTATTTGTGAATAATATAATAGTAAAAGTATACGTTAAGTGTACGAATTTGTTTGTGGTTGTTTTCTGCGATTTTTGCTACTACGATTTTGTGTTATTTTCGTGCAAGGCCGTTCACTTGGCGGGAATGTATAACTAATGGTCTTTGTGCTACAAATTTTTTTTGGGTAACAACGGTAAAAAAAAACCTTAGCTTAGCTGGCAGTCATAATGTGAATTTTTTGCTGCGATTTCAAACCACACAAATGTAAAATGTTTTGCCTGATTTTCGGTTACCCTTAACATGAAAACGAAAATGTTGTTTGAAACAAAAAAAAAATGAGAGCAAAAGGTAGCTGTTGTACGTTTTGTTGTTGTTTTTTTTTATACGGATATATGTTTGTAGTTTACGTATTAATGAAAGTGAAAATAAAGGTAAATTTCAGGAACTTATTACGGTGAGTGACGAGGTGTGTTGAATTTTGACTTCTTGTTTTTGGGGTTCAATGTAACACATTTTTTTGGGGCGAAAATATTTGTTGCAAAAAATGTGAAAGGTAATTTTTGGAATAAAGGGTGAGAAGGTTATCTTATGAGATAGTTCCGCATATAATACTAGGTGTAAATTAGTTGATTAATTGTCATAATACCACCATAAGGCGAACTGTACTTTAAATTTGTCATTCTATTAGTGAAACCCCGAAATAATCGTGGCAGGCCCAGTCAGAATAAAATTCGATGAAAATTTCATCATATCTCCGTCTATAGTGCTGTGTCTTGAAATCACGATAGTGGTAGCAATATTTAAAATATAGCTTTGAACATTTTGCACTATTCCTCTGATATTTGAAAAATTAAATGAGAAATATCGGTATAAGTTTCGATATAGCCGCCATGTAAACATCTCACCAACTTGTAGGTATGTTGGTGGTTCTGAATTTTGTGTTCCGGATTTTTCGAGAAAAAATAACATATTTTCTGAAACAGTTCAGCAAAGGTCTTAAATACAATTTCTGGCAGTAGTTGGATTTACAAGATCAGGGAGTGAAAAAATTGCAGAAACTAATATTTGAAAAAATCAATGCTTGGAAAAAAATCGTTAAAAAAACCAAAAATCAGAAAAGTCGCCAGAAAAATTATTTAAAAAATATGGAAGTCTCCGAAAAAAATTCACGCATATGTTGGTTTATGAACACAAATTAATTTCAAACGACTATGGGAATCTTTCAAAAATTAATCCACGACTATGGAAGTGTTAGAAAAAATATTCTTTAATAAATTTAGGGCTATGGAAATCTTCGAAAAAAATATTCATTTATAAAATCAAGCCTGTTGGAAGTCTATAAAATAATATTTTTTTAAAAAGTTATGCCTACGGAGTCTTTAAAAAATACTATTTAAAACCAGTGAGCGGAACAGTATAGTCGGACGAGGCCGACCCTACGATACCCTACACAACTACCATGGAAGTCAAATTTTCAGCGGATGTTTATTCCGAGCCTGGGCAATATTTCATGATATTTGCATCCTCTTGCCCGATTAGAGGTAAACAGCACCTCTTCCTCACACTGACATATTTTCCGAATATTGCGAGTATTCAGTACACCTATTGTCCAGATTCCCTTCACCGTGGGTAGTGTTGTGATGTTCGGCTTTCATTTGTGGTCTATAGATCGACTCGATAATAACACAAAAAAATAAGTTTTCGGTCCACTTCATTCCAAAATTATTATCTGATAATCACCGAAAATTATAGGCGTTGTCCTTGACCATAACTGGAACCTTATGGAACATTTCAAAGCGATCAGCGCTATAGTTCCGATCTCTAGAGTGATAATGGGTTACTAAATAATATACGAATACGGAGATACCTGTAACTATTTAAATGTAACTCCCACATCCGAGCACATACAACAATATAATTGGTATTAATTTAAAGGATATAATATCCTCTTGGATATAATATCAACTTTTCGGGTATATGTCCTTTCGGGGTAAACATATACGCTATAGAATACAAATTTTGTCATCTTTCACACAAAAGTCAGAGTCCATTTGACGCGCTAAATATTGACCGATCTTTATCCCAACAGGCATGCTTATTCCTTGGCCCGGTCCGCTTCTCCATGCAAAATTTCACGATGTTCGGGTCCTTATTGCGGCCTCTGGAGCGACCAGAAAAACCAACAAAAATTTAGTATTTTGTCCATTTCATCCCCTAAATATTAACTGATCTTTCCCGAAAACAATAGTGGTCTTCATTGGCCAGAACCCATCCTACATGCAAAATTTCGTGAAGATTGGTCCATAACTGTGGCCTGTATCGTGTTTACAAATTATAATGGACAGACTTACGGACGGACACACATGTCTAGATCGACTCAGCTAGTCGAGATATGACGATTGGTATAGTTAAAGGTGGACCTAGGACCAATATTTCGCGGCGTTACAAACTTTTGGGGCTGCATAAAGCTATAATACCCTGACAACATAGTTGAGTAGAGTATTAAAATCTATGCTTATGGAAATCTTTAAAAAAATATTCTTTGAAAAATCCACTCATATGGAAGTTTTCGAAACATATTCTTTACATGACTACGAAAGTCTTTGAAAAAGTATGTGTCAAAAATCCTTGAATATGGAAGTCTTGGAAAAAGTATTTTTGAAGTCCTCGACAAAAAATTATTTTTTTTAATTCACGACTATAAACCCCTTAAAAATATTTTTTAAAGAATCCACGTCTATGGGAGTCTCTGAAAAATATTCATAAAAAAATCCACTCCTATGGAAGTATTTGGAAAAATATTTTTTAAATAATCCTCGCCTTTGGATGACTTTGAAAAGTATTGTTTAAATAATCCACGCACATGGCAGTGGATTTGAAATATATTTTTGGAAAAATATTTTTTAAGTAAGCTATGCTAAGGAAGTCTTGGAAAAAAATCCACTATGGAAGTCTTTGAAAAAGAAAATCTTTAAAAAATCCAGGTCTATGGAAGTCTTTTAGAAAATATTTTTTAAATAATCTACGCCTATGGAAGACTATGAATTTTGTTTTTTTTAGATAATACGCGCCTAAGGAACACATTGAAAATTTTGTTTTTATAATCAACGCCTAAGGAAGTCTTTGAAAAAATATTTTTAAATAATGCAAGCCTAGGAAGTCTTTGAAAAAATATTTTTTTAAATAATCCACGCCTAAGGTCTTTAAAAAATAAAAAAACACTCATATGGAAGTCTTCGAAAAAATATTCTTAAAAAAAACCCATGTCTATGAAAGTTTTGCAAAAAATATTTTTCAAAACCCATTCGACTTTTGAAGTCTTCAAAAAATATTTTTTAAAAATTCATGCATATGAAAGTCTAGAAAAATAATCTTAAAATAATCCACGTCTATGGAAGTCTCTGAAATATATTCTTTAAAATGGAAGTCTTTAAATAACTCTTCGCCTATTGAAGTCTTTAAAAAAACATTCTATGGAAGTCTTTGAAAAAATATTTATTATAAAGTTCACTACTATTGAAGTCTCTGAAAAATTATTGTTAAAAAAATTGTTTTTTAAAATTCCCGCCTACGAAAGTCTGTGAAAAAATATTCTTTAAACATTTTTGGAGAAAAAGAACATATGATTAATTTATCATTTTTTTTTCTCATTATTTTCAGGAACACATTCAAGAAGTTCTTGACAAATGGACCCAAATCGATGATGAAATTTGGGCCAAAGTAATTGTCTTTGAACGTAATCGTCGTGTGGCCAAAGCCTATGCTCGGGCACCAGTATTAACAATAAATGGCTCAGATGATGGCTTTGATGGCATGCGGTAAGTAATTAATGTTGTTTAATTTCCTCTCTTTTTTTTGGTTTGTAAACATTTTGTTTAAATTTGTTATTTGACTTGACAGTTGGAGCTTCCTAAAGCTGAGAATACAAACATTAAATGGTGACCACAATTATAGTTATTTAAGACTTCTCTGGTTTCTTAAAGATTCGGATGGGTTTGGGTTTTTAGATGAAACCGAAAGTGAAGATACAAAACAGAGGGTTTTGATATGCTCAGCAAAGTATTGTTGTAACTAACTTCGTTGATACCCTTGACCTAGAAGTGTAGAGTTGGTTGGTGTTTTGTTGTGTGTTTAATGTGGCCAATTATTTATGGCCACAATACACAAGCGTACAAATCAAAGGTAATAAAATACCCTTCATCATGGAAATCATGATGACGATTGTCGGCATCATTATTATGCCTAAGAGAAACAATTTGTTTCATCATGATAATGCTGTTTAACAAAATGCTAATCATGTTGTTGTAGAGTTATATGATAGACATCAATATCATTCGCAGAGATGAAGCCACCCTGACAAAAACTAAAATCAAAATGACGTTTAAATTGTTGAAAAGTTTTTTAATATTAAAAGTGTTTAAAAGCATTTAATGAACTTGTCGTTTTTTATTTCTTTTTCTTGTCTCGAAACATTTTAGCTCCAATCATGATAATTTTTTGCAAAGAATAGCCTTCCTTCTTGCAGAAGCTAATAAAATGTATAATCGCCTGTAATCACAGAAAATTTTTGTTTTTAAGACAAATTGCTAACAAATTTATTGCTATCTTGTTTTTTTTCATAAGCCACCATCACCAGATCTTGACAAACAATAGAATGACAACTTATTTAAGTGCAAAAAAAGAACTGTTGAAAAAATACTTTTTGCTGTTGTTGGGTTTTTATTTTGGCTGGGGTTGGAATATTTTTTTTTTAGCTGTGAAGAAGGTCGCCTTAAATGGGAAACTTACTTTTAATGGAAATTTTATTTAAGTTATTAACAATTGGTGAGGTTCAATGGCCATGTACTGAACTTCTTATAGAAAATAGCTTATTGGAATTCTGAAAAGAATATTCCATTAAAATTCAAGTTTATGGAAGTTTATGAAGGAAAATGTATTTTACACAGATTCACGCTAAAAGAAGTTCTAGAAAAACGATCCTTAGGAAACATGCGCCTATGGAAGCCATTGAAAAAATATTCTTTAAAAAATCCACGCCAGAGGAAGCCATTGAAAAAATATTCTTTAAAAAATCCACGCCAGAGGAAGCCATTGAAAAAATATTCTTTAAAAAATCCACGCCTATGGAAGTCTCTGAAAAAATATTATTTAAAAATCCACACCAATGGAAATCTCTGAAAAAAAATTCTTTAAAAAATCCACGCCTGTGCAAGCCATTGAAAAAATATTCTTTAAAAAATCAAAGCCTGTGGAAGTCTTTGAAAAAATATTCTTTAAAAAATCCATGCCTGTGGAAGCCATTGAAAAAATATTCTTTAAAAAGGCAAAACCTGTGGAAGTCGTTGAAAAAATTGCTTTAAAAAATCCACGCCAGTGGAAGTCATTGAAAAACTATTCTTTAAAAAAGTCATTGAAAAAATATTATATAAAAAATCCACGCCAGTGGAAGCCATTGAAAAAATATTCCTTAAAAAAGCCATTGAAAATTTTTTATTTAAAAAATCCACGCCAGTGAAAAAAATATTTTTTGAAAAATCCACGCCTATGGAGGTCTCTGAAAAAATATTCTTTAAAAGTCCACACCTATGGAAGTCTCTGAAAAAAGATTTAAAAAAAAAATAGTTTTTTTAAATAAAATTTATTTATTATTTTACTTTATCTGTAGCTTATTTTGTAAGCTTAATATAATCCATTCAAAACGTTCACAGATCATAAGTGTACAATAATTTTACCTCCATTAGCAAAACAAAAGACTTAAGACACATACGTATATAATAAATATTTTATGATCGTTTTTATACCCTTCACCACACTGTGGTACAGGGTATTATGCCTTTGTGCATATGTTTGTAACAGGCAAAAGGAATCGAGATAGACCCATGGTTCCTTTTGAGAATATGCATAGAATCACTTTCTGAATCGATTTACGCATATCCGTCTGTCCGTCCGTCCGTACGTACGTCTGTCCGTCCGTCCGTCCGTCTGTCCATGTATTTTTGTTAACAAAGTACAGGTCGCATTTATGATCCGATTTGGATGAAATTTGGCACAGTTCACTTATTTGGCCCATGGACGAACCCTATTGAAATTGGGAAAAATCGGTTCAGATTTAGATATATTTTCGTCCGATTTAATGTAAACGGTCCCTATATATCTTTCCATTTGCACGAAATTTGGTACAGCGTAATGAATTAGGTCTAGAATGATGTTTGCAAAGTTTCGTGAAAATCGGTTCAGATTTAGATATAGCTCCCATATATAGTTTCGTCCGATTTCATATAAATGGTGCACCAAAGTCCCTATATATCCTTCGATTTGGACGAAATTTGGCATAACGTACTGAAATGAGCCTAGAGTAATGTCTGCCATGTTTCGAGGAAATCGGTCCAGATTTCTATATAGCTCCCATATATAGTTTCGTCCGATTTCATGTAAATGGTGCACCAAAGTTCCTATATATTATTCGATTTGCACGAAATTTGGTACAGCCTAATCATTTAGGTCTAGAATAATGTCTGCCAAGTTTCGTGAAAATCGGTCCAGATTTAGATATAGCTCCCATATATAGTTTCGTCCGATTTGATGTAAATGGTCCACCAAAGTCGCTAAATATCTTTCGATTTGCACAAATTTTGGCATAACGTACTGAATTGAGTCTAGAATGAAGTCTGCCAAGTTTCGTGACAATAGGTCAAGATTTAGATATAGCTCCCATATATAGTTTCGTCCGATTTCATGTAAATGGTGCCCCAAAGTCCCTATATACCTTTCGATTTGCACGAAATTTGCCATAACGTACTGAATTGAGCCTGGAGTGATGTCTGCGTTGTTTCGTGAAAATCGGTCCAGATTTAGATATAGCTCCCTTTTATTATAGATTGATTTTAAGTAAAGGATTTTAAGTGACGCACCAGGGAACCAATAGGCTGATAGGAACAAAACGTTCTGAAATTACTATAACCTAAACTGTGACATGTTTGTTTTAAATCGCTTAATATTTGGGTAGAGCTTCCATATATATTTTCACCCGATGTTAAGTAAATTGGGCATCAAACTCCTCATGTAGTCAGGTTGACATCAAATTTTGCACAACTTACAAAATTGAGCATAGAATTACGTAGTTGCGTTTTCTAGAAGTACAGACATAGCCCAGTATTTTTTTGAAGTCGATTTACATACTTTATGGATAGATCTAGTAGGTAGATTCACATTTAGATATATATCACATATTTTATTTCATCCAATTTCATGTTAATAGTCCTGTTCAATATACCCATAGTGGTGAAGGGTATCATATAGTCGGCCCCGTCCGACTTTACTACTTTCCTTACTGGTTTTATTTTCTTTTTTGGAAATATAAAAGTTATTATTTCGAAATACTACTATTAAACATATTTTCCGCAAAGTTATAAAATAAATTCGTTTTCGTGAAATATATACAAAGAAATAAATAGAAGAAAAGTAAAAATATAGCCAAAATAATACTTTCACGGAAACAGATTATAACTTTGATTAATTTGTGCTTTCAGTCTTAGTTTATAAATAAAGTAAAAGTTAATATATGCTAGTTTAAATGTGGATAAACAAAAATATAAAATTATAAATAAATTAAAATTTATTAAAATTTATTTTCCCCAATTGACATGAGTCTCTTGGGGAATTGTCAAATTCCATGTTCATGCATTACTTAATTTAATATTTTTTTTTTACTTCTCCAATTTCGCTTCCAAAAATTCTATTTCATCTTTCCCATTGAATTATTCTTGATTAAATTGATGATTAAATTTTTGAAATATTTTTAAAAACACAGTTTTCATTTTTCCATAAAATATACATATTTGGAATTAAATACCCTTTTGACATTTACACCCAGTTCCTATTTATCTGCCTATCATTTCATTTTTCACCCAAACCATAACATGCAATACAACATTTTAGTAATTACATATTTCTAAAAAAAAAAACAAAATTACGTAACACCAACAAAAATCATGTCAAAAATGTTTTAACAAAATAAAACAAAAGATTTAAGACACGAACAGAATTGCCTATTTCTCAATATCGTATATCTATGTCACAATATTATCTCTTCCAGCCTCTCTATTTAGAGGTGTAATAAATTGTCTAACAAAATATCGAATGTTAAAATATAATTATTATTATTGCTAACTTAATATTGATTGATAGTTATTTTCGGCATTACGGTTGTATGTGAAAATGTCAGTTGTAAAACCAAAAAACAAAAGACTTAAGACACCAAAACATTACATGCAATTTTTTTGATAATCACTTTCAATTTTCGTTTATTCGAATCGATTACATGAAAAAACACCTTGCATGTAATGTCTTGCAAGTGTGTATGTATATGTGTACACCATGGGGTTTTTATACTATGAAATTCATATAAACTTTTGACCTCAGGTTCACAGTGATTTTCATTACTGTACAACACCATAACCGAAATTATTTTCCTGTTTCATTGGATTTTTGGTTTTGTTTTTATAAATATTTTCGGCCTGTCGTTTACTGCAAATATTGTTGTTGTTAAAACACTTGTTACGATTTCCGTTGAAATTGAAAAGAGAAGAACAAACAGCAACAGCACAAAAAAATGCCAAAATTCATCATAAATTCAAAAATAGCATTTAAATGAAGGCACATCACTTGGCAAATGAAAGATAGATAGATGGATGGTTGGTTGGATAGATGGATGAATGGCTGACTGGCTGGTTGTTCGGCTATTTTGTTGGTGGTTGGCCGGTAGTTCGTTTAGTCGGTTTGTTTGTTTATTTGTTTGGCCATAAACAAGAAGTAGCTA